CTTCCACAGCAGAGCTGCCCAGCCCTGAGCTTGCCAGGAGGCATTTCTAGCTCGCCCGGCCTCCCCTCCTCTCCTGAGCTGTCCCCTCCTCCTTCTTCCCCTTCTCCTTCTTTCCCTCTGCCCCTCCCCTCCTCACCCTGCTTCTCCCCTTCACCACCCACGCCCCTTTCTCATCTGAACTCTGGGACTGTGGCAGAGGCTGCAGGTAAACAGCCTGTTTGCCGTCGTCCTGGCCTTCAGCCCAGACCATCGGGGTCTTGCTTTGGCAGCTCTAGCCCTTTCTGGGGCACTGGCTCTGGCTGGCGATATCAGGCGGGGTCAGGCCGGTGGGCCCTCTGAATACCTGTTATGGTGCCTTCACCTGGGTCACTCAGCAGGTGGTACGCTCATGGGACCTGCGGCTCAGAGGGGCTCGATCACTTGCCTGTCACCACAAGCAATCACAAGTGGCCAAAAGGGAATCCCAGTTCAGGTCTCAGTGACCAGGGAGCCCACTCTGCTGTTTCCCCACCACGAGGCCTGTCCAGGCTTATGGTACAAACAACCATATGGCAACCTGGCAGGGGCCAAGAAGACCGTTTGGCTTCCTTCGGTCTTTGCATCAGCTGCTGCCATGGCTGATGGCCCTGGGCACCATACCGTGGCCTCCTGTGCCCTCTGTCCGTCACCTCCGGCTAGGACCAGCACCCAGAGGAGAGGGCTGGCTCTCAGTAGTCACCCTGGCATGGTGGGGCTGAGTGTGCCACTGTGTCTCTGACTTAGACCAGGAGAATCCTTCCTCCCCTGGGGCTTTACAGGAAGAGGAATCCCTGCTTCCCAATCTCCTCTGACCAAGTTCCTCTTACCCAGTGGGAGGGGACTGAGAACTCTTCTGATTGGACAGCACCTCTTACCCGTCACCAGCTGGTCCATCTCTTGCTGTGTGACTGTGGAGAAGCCCCTTCACCTCTCTGTGCCATCTCTCTACCAGGAAAAAAATGTCAACACTTCTAGTACCTACTTTAAAGGGGAGAGGAGGCAGAGAGCGTAATCGAGGGTGGTGGGGCCGGAGGAGGGCCCGCCCTGCAGGTCACAAAGCTTGCAACAGGCAGCAGAGCAGGGACTGGACCCAGGCCAGGGGGAGGCAGGGAGGATCCTCTGGCTTTCTGAGATTCACAGGGTCTTTACTTTTCAGAGCTGAGAGTGGAGAGAATGTCACGCCTCCTAGCTCTGGGGCTTTTGGTGGCCCTTCTCTGCCACTCAAGCACCACACTCGACCAGGAGAACCTGACACAGGACCACCAGGACAGTGGGACACATGAGGACAGCCTCAGGTGGGCCTCCAGCAGCACCGACTTCGGCCTCAGCCTCTACAGGCAGCTGGCTTCTATGACCCCTGGCAAGAATGTCATCTTCTCCCCTCTGAGCACCTTCACAGCCTTGGCCTTCCTGTCCCTGGGGGCCCGCAACACCACCCTCACCGAGATCCTTGAAGGCCTCAGGTTCAACCTCACGGAGATTTCCGAGGCAGAGATCCAGCAGGGCTTCCAGCACCTCCTGCAGACCCTCAACCAGCCCAGCGACCAGCTGCAGCTGAGCATGGGCAATGCCCTGTTCCTCCGGAAGCAGCTGAAGCTGCTGCAGAAGTTCTCCGAGGATGCTCAGGGGCTGTTCGCAGCCCAGGCCTTCTCCACCGACTTCCAGGACCCCGATGCCGCACAGGCGCTCATCAATGACTATGTGAAGAATAAGACACAGGGAAAGATTGTGGATCTGATCAAGGGCCTCGAGCCAGAGACAGTGATGGTCCTGGTAAATTACATCTTCTTTAAAGGTGAGTGCCTGGGGCCAGCAGGTGCTAGACTCCTACATGGTCGACCACAGTTCGACTCCCAGACCCGATGGCTTGAAAGTCACACCAGGCTTGTGTACGTGCATGCCTGAGAGGAGAGTGGAGGAGAAGGGGCTGTGGTGTGGCCAATTCCTTGGATGGTGATTTCTTGTTTTCTGTCTCTGTCTCTCTGGCGAACACACATGCCCTATAGGAAAAACTTTCCCCCAAAAAAAGAAAGAAAGAAAGGTGAGCCTGGCTTGGCGTCCAGGAGAAAACAGCCTTCATTCTGAGCTTTTGGGCCATTTCTGCCCTAGCTTGTGGACGATTATTAGTCTAGCCACCACTGGGCAGGAGGGTGTCCACAGCTTGGTGTATGTGTGGGGCACGGGCTTCGAGACCCCTCCCTGCCCATAGGCCTCTGCTTATAAATTACAGATCAGCTTTGGTTCCAAGACAGCTTCAGTGGCCCATGAACACTTTGTCTGCATCAGAGTGGTGCTTTTTATTCGCCTATTTTTATTTCAACTTGCCCAGGACACAGAAGGAAGGCACTTTCCTTGCAAATCACTCCAAGTGGCAGAAACTAGAGCTGCCTCCTGGCAGAGCCCCTGGTGGACGTGGTCAGGAAACCCCTTTGCCTGTGCATTCCTGGGGACACCTCTGACCTGCACACCCTGGCCCAGGGCCTCAGGCTCTGGAGGGGATCCAGGTGGGGCTGGGGGTGGTCTTCACAGGGGAAGACAACCCCTCAGGAGCCTGGTCACCCCCAAGTTCTGTAACTCTGCTCTCCTGTAATATTGAGGAAGGAAATAACACCGTCCCCATCTGAGGAAGAGCCCCAGGGAGGGCAGCACCCTGGCCAGGGCCCTGCCCCTTATATGAGTGGCCTGGCGCCCCATGACAGTGAAGCGACTCAGCAAATGGGGCGCTCAGCCTGCCGACTCAGGAGCTGAGCAGCAGGTAACTGCCTCATGGAGCCCACAGTCCAACTGGGGACAAATAAACATCGGTCTGCCACGAGCGACCAGTCCAAGGGCCAGAAGGTACAAGGCGTCAGGAGCTGGTGGCAGCCAGAGTCCTGTGCAGAATCCTAGCCCAGGTTGGGCAAGACCCTCCCTCTGGACCTGTTTTCACCTACACCTACAGGTGCAGAGCTGGCTCTCCCTCCGACACCAGCCAGGTCTGCTGTCCCCTTGGTCCTGTAGGTCCCAGGATGTCCTCCCCAGGGACACCCCAGCAAGCAGAGCTTCCCCCCTCCCTCCTGCCCCTAACAATGGGAAACAGGCAGTGGAGGGGCCAGACTTTCGAGGAAGCTCCAGGTCTCTGACATACCCAGAAAGCTCATTTCCACCCAATCCTCGAGTCCTCCATCCTCCTGGGGTGGAGACCTGATCACCCACATGGCTACTCTGTCGACTTCAGTTCTGCTTTCCAGGTTCACCCTGGGTCACGAACAAGGCACTAAACTTACCTAATGGGACCTGGTCATTGCTGAGGCTGTGGTGTGGAAGTCTGGGGGGAGCTGGTGTTTGTGACCCTGAGCCCAAGTTGGAATGGACTGGGAGAAAGGCAGGACAGACACAGAAGTCCAGAGGACTAGACCGCGCCCAGACCTCCCTCAACTGGCTCAAGCAGCAGCCACGAGGCCGGGTCCGCTGGGCATAATGGTGTGAGGAGGGGGACGTGAGCTGCTGAGCCTGATCTGCAAGGCCTCACCACTCCCAGTTCTCTGGATTGAGGCCATAGGTGGGGGCCATGGGCTCTGGATTCAGGGCCGGATATTCCTAGCCCAGAGAGGTGGATGTGACCTGATGCAAACTGAGGACCACAGCTGTCCCTTCTTAGCCCATGGCTTTGGGATGCCCCGCGCCCACCCCTCAGAGGGCAAGGTGCCATGGGCATTGTCCTGTGGTCACTCCGGCTCTGAATTCTGCTCCATAGAGGTCCTCCCTGCTCCTCCCAGGTCCTTCACAGCAATGGGCATCCTCTCTGGACCCCACAGAACTCAGCTTCCTTCCTCCTCTGCCCATCCAGCCCTCCCACAAGCCAATGTGGGCAACAGAGCAGAAGATTTGGGGTGCAGAGGAGTGGGTATATGTCCACGTCTCCACAATGCCAGTTACTAGCAATTATTTACCAGGCAACCCCCCTTTTTAAAGAACTAGGGGGAACCAGCTTTCCCCAGGCTCCAGATCCTGTGGTATCATGCCTCTTTCCTCAGTTTACCTCCCCCCATCTTGTACTTCCTGTTCCCCAATTCCTACTGAGTTTTCATGCAGCGCACATAGCCAGGTCTTTGTTCCATGGCCCCATTTCCAGTCCAGGCCTGCAGGGCTCTCCCATCCCTGACAACTCTGCCCCTTGTCAAGGTATTTCCAGGACCAGGGCAGGACCAGAGCGCTTGCCGGCTCAGGCAAGCTGGTGGCAACGGGGCAGGAAGGCTGCTCACATCAGCCTCTGCTACTTGTTCTGCCTTTAGCCAAGTGGAAGACGCCCTTCGACCCCCACGATACTTTCCAGTCACAGTTCCATGTGAGCAAGAGAAGGCGGGTGAAGGTGCCCATGATGAAAGTGGAAAACCTGTGGACGCCCTACTTCCGGGACGAGGCCCTGTCCTGCACAGTGGTGGAACTGCCGTACATGGGCAATGCCAGCGCACTCTTCGTCCTCCCAGACCAGGACAAGCTGACGCAGGTGGAAGCCAGGCTGCTCCCAGAGACCCTGAGCAGGTGGAGACGCTCCTTGCAGACCAGGTGACTAGCCCAGGGCCCTGCGACCCTTCTCCTCAGGGCCTCTCCAATGCCCAGTGATGGGAGAACCTACATGGGGACAGGTAGAGTTTGGGGGTACTTTGTTCTTTGGTGTCTGTGGACGTTGGGCCTGAACTGTTTTCCTTCATAGGATGGTGGCATCAGATGGAACCCAGGCCTGGGGCTTCCTCCGACTCCACCGCGTTCTAAGTCAGAATTGCCAACATGAGCCCCAGTGCTCACGTGCGGTTCTCCTTGTCTCAACCTCCTGACGGTAGAGGGGGACAGAGGAATTACGACCCACCAATGGTGGGTGAGTCGGGCTCTGAGAATCAGCTCTGCTCTGTACCCTCATTCATTCATTCAGCAGCTGTCGGGTGATTCATTGAGCACCTACTGTGTGCCGGCACTTATTCATTGAGCACCTACTGTGTGCCGGTAAAATAAAATCTCAATGCCCTCAGGGGGCTCATTTTGTAGTTGGGGAAGTGAGGCTAAATTAACATAAAGGAAATGATTTGATGTGTGAGAAGGTGCATGATTTGGTAAAAAGTACAAGATGGGGGGGGGGGGAGTAGAGGAAGAGGGTAAACGCATCCTGAAAGCTGGGCCTGGAGGCAGTTTATGATTTTAAATAGAATGGCCATGAGGTGATGTTAGAGTATCAGCCAAACAGACACGAGGAGTGGGGTCCATGGATGGACTGGTGAAAAGCACCCATGAAGAGGGAACAGCCAGGGCGAAGCCTCTGCGGCCCAGCGAGGCCAGAGCAGCTAGAAGAGAGTGAATGAGGGGGAGTTAGTGCCTCACAGGTGCTAAAGGAGTGGGTCAGGTGACAAGATCCCTGTAGATCCCTGGAAAAACTTGATCTTCCTCCTCAAGGAGAAACGAAGGGCCACCGGAGGCCTCCAGGAGTGCACGGCCCGGGTGTTGTTTTAGAGGCTCGCCTGGCTGCCGAGCGGGCATAGACCAGACTTAGGGCAAGCATGGAGGCAGGGAGCCCTGCTAGGGGCCAGCCCAGAGTCTGGGTGGGAGCGAGCCATGAGGGTAAGAAGTGGCCTGGATTACCTGAGGGTAGAGACGCAAGCTGACGTACACAGGAAATGGAGCTGACAGGTCCCAGTCTGGCGAGCCCCCGCCCAGTCCCTGTGGCAGAGCACAGGCAGCAGGTGCCTCAGTCGTGCAGGGGTGAGGGGCACCGGACTCTGAGTCCCACCCTGAGGATCAGGCCCCAGGGGCCAGCATGACCGTGGGCAAATCTGTGCTCTTCCTATGGGCTCGGCCACCTACAAAATGGACAGGGTGCCACTGTTCCTCTGTCCCTGTCCTTCCTGGGGGGTTCCAAGAGCCCCATGAGGTAAAAATGGATTCTATGAAGCACCAAAGGGAGGGGCCTGCTTCAGCATAAACGCGAGGCTGCAGCCCCTGCCTCCACCACTGTCCGGAGGACTGGGTGCCTCCTGGGACTACCTGACTCAGGCCCTCCACGCCCCGAATCCCAGGGAACTCCAGGACACAAGGCTCTACCTGGCCCATAGTAGGTGCTCAGTATGTATTTGTTGAATGAATGAAGGAAGGAAGTTAAGAAGGAACTAAAGAATGAATGAGTGAAAGGAGGAATTTATTCCTTCTCCATTTCCATGGGACTCAAAGTTTAATGCGAGTCGCAGCCTCCTAGTGTTTGGCAACTGTAGACAAGCAGACAGTGTCCCTGTTATTAAAGGGACACACAGAGGGGAGCTTACTGAGGAGGCTCCTGCCGCCTCCTGCTCCGAGAACTCACTGCCCACTGCATACGCCTGCCTGACTCAGGAGAGGCAGGACAGGAGCCTCCAGCTGATTGCTGGGGCATCCAGAGTCCTTCCAATAGAATCGGACGCCTGGCAGCACTCAGCCCTTCGTGAGTCTCTTGGCCCCTGCCCAGTCGCACCCTCATCTCTCCCCTCCCCTACACTGAGGCTGCCTGCCACCCTGGAAGTCACCCTTCTGGCTTCCCACCTTCTTTACATTCTCCTAGCTGCCTTTTACCCTCCCTTTCACCCAACTAGCTCCTTCCCATCCTGTGGGATTTAGCCTGGACACCACCTCCTACAGGAAGGCCTCCTGGCGGGGGGAGCAGGCTGCTATCCCACCAGTGTGGCTGCCCTGCCCTGTCTCCACGCACTGGGGGGTCCTCACTGGGGTGAAGGGGCAGGGCATGCTCGGGCACAGTCCCAACCTTGGCACACCACCTGGGACACTCAGACACCTGCAGATGCAAACAGATAATTCATGAATTAAGAAGAGTACGAGGTCAGCAAATGTCATAGCAGTTACATCGCTGGACTCTCACACGGCCGACCATGGTTCAAGTCCCAGACCTGGTGGCTTGAAAAATGCTGGATGTATGTATGTGCGTGCTCAAGATCCCAAGAGGGAGGTCAGCAAATGTCATAGCAGTTACATCGCTGGACTCTCACACGGCCGACCATGGTTCAAGTCCCAGACCTGGTGGCTTGAAAAATGCTGGATGTATGTGCATGCGTGCCCAAGATCCCAGGAGGAGAATGGAGGGGAAGGGATTGCAGCATGGCCATCCCCCCTTGGGGAGATGATTTCTCACTTTCCCTCTCACCGTCTCTCTGACTCTCTCTCTGGTGAGTACACATGCCCTCAGGCAAGAAAAAAAAAAGAGTAAGCACAAGTGACTCAAGAAATGGAGGCCATGATCGCTGAGTTCCAGCGAGAAGAGGGGGGTTGCGGACACCATGGAAGACCGCGCTGCGAGGTGGGCATGGGGCCACGCAGGAGCTCACACATTCTCTGTTTCCTAGATGGATAGATGAGCTCTACCTGCCAAAGTTCTCCATCTCAGGAGACTACAATCTGAACAAAGTCCTTCCCCAGCTGGGCTTCAGGGAGGTCTTCAGCAGGGACGCTGACCTGTCAGGGGTCACAGGAGCCAAGAACCTGGTGCTCTCTCAGGTGAGTCCTTAAACCTTGGGCAGTCCGTCCTCCGGATCTGAACCTGAGCAGTGAAGGCCAGGTGTGTGTCCGGGCATCCTTGACCTTGTGTAGATGCCTGCATCCCCCACTTCTCATCGGCCTCCCTGGACTTGCAAGCCTGGGCCAAGCTGGCCCAGCTACTCCTGTCACATGGGTGCTGGTCCCTCCTCCACAACACAGTGAGCACAGGGGCCGCCTGGGAGGACCTTGGGCTTGGGGTCATGCAGGCATAGGCACCACCCCACGCCACACTGCCAACTGCCTCCAGGGATGAAGAATGAAGTCCCCTACTCACAGTTTTTCACCTGTGAAATGGAGGTGACCGTTCCTGGCAGGGCAGACCATGGTCATAGGTAATGACAATGGCTCCGTGGCCACTGTGTTGGAAAAGCGCTGAGTGGGCCAACCACCACCAGTGGCATGGTGGTTAAGGCGGCTGGATCCCACATGAATCACTGACTGCATGGGTCAAGTCCCAGACCTAGCAGCTTGGGAAGCACAGTAGGCATGTGTGTGTGCGTGCCCAAAATCCTGAGAGGAGATTGAGAAGAGATTGCAGTGTGGCCATCTCCCCAGGGGGCGCTCTCTCTCTCTCTCTGGTGAGTACAGTCTCTATGGCAAACCATATGTGTAGATACACATATATACATATATACACATATATACGCTAAGAGTATGTGAGGAGATGACTTGAGACCCTTGGACTGGCTACCAGAGCAGAGGTCAGAAGAAGGGGGGGGTGGTGACTAGGCAGCTTCGGCTCCACTCGGCTCTGCACTGTGCTCAGGCAGTACCCCACCTTCCAAAGTGCACAGTAATGGAAGGGTCTGTGTGGTGGGGGGCAAAGGACCTGGGGGGGGCCAGGAATTTAAAGTCCCTTCTATGCAAAGTGTTTGAGAGTCCCTGGGGATGTTTCAGTTGGAGCCGGAGCAGTGCTACCACCCAGCACTAACCTAGCCAAGAGCAGGCTGTGCAGAGCTGCCCGGGGTTCTGTGCAAGGATGTGCCCAGCCTGGCCTAGTCTGGCCTCCTTCTGATGGCAGGGGGTGTCTGGGGGTTCCATACTCTGGACTCAGACAGAGAGGGAGTCAGAGCCTGGCACCCCACTCTTCCCTGTATGAAGCCAAGCAAATCACCCACTGCTTCGGTGTCTTAGCTGCATGTCCGTGTGTCAGGATCATTCAAAATATTGAGTGGTCCGGAAAGTTGTGTTGCGTTTTTAGACAGAAAAATAGGTCATGATTTTCCTGATGATCTAATAGCTGGCAGGAGTGGGAGGGACAAGCAAGTTTACCAGCTCAGGGACAGGCCAGCGGGAGAGGCCTGGTCTATGTCAGATCCCTCAGCGGCACTTGGCAGGCTGCTTACCCCGCGCCCACCCTGTCCCCGTGAGTGACCTCTGATGTCCTTGCAGGTGGTCCACAAGGCTGTGCTCGACGTGGGTGAGGTGGGCACAGAAGCAGCTGCTGGCCCCGGAA